TGCGGGGCCGCGCTGCGGGACGGGACGGGACAGAACGGGACGGCCGCGGGTGGGGGCGGGCGCGGCGGCGGGGCCGAGGCCGTTCCTAAGCCGTGCCCGCTGCCGGTGCCCAGGTGTGGTTCCAGAACAGACGGACCAAGTGGCGGAAGAGACACGCGGCGGAGATGGCCTCGGCAAAGAAGAAGCACGACTCGGAGACGGAGAAGCTGAAGGAGAGCTCGGACAATGAGGACGATGACGAATACAACAAGCCCCTGGACCCCAACTCAGATGACGAAAAAATCACGAGGCTATTGAAAAAGCACAAATCCACGAACCTGTCCCTTGTCAGCCCCTGCAGCACCAGCTCGGACACCTTGTGAGGGCAGGAGGCCGACGGCCGCGATGGGGCGAGTGTAGCTGGGTGTTTGAAGTGGTGTGTTGTACAGCCTGAGATGTATGTGAAATGTATATATATTTTTTACAGAATAAGTTATGAAATTATTTTCTTTCTCATCGATGTAAATTTCAGAGAAATTTTTCCGACTTTTTGGGTTTTATTTGTGTCCCTTTAAGGTTCCTGCTCTTTCCTTTAGCCTTCCTGCTGGTCTCCTGCACCTAACAATCAGGTTTTGTTACGTTTTCTATGGGTCTCCAAATCCAAGCTCAGCCACGTTGTATATAGTAAATTTCAGATTTTGTGATGTATATTTCTAGTGTAAAAACGGCAGCTTTCTTTCACTCCTTGTCCCTCAGTGTTTTGGCGGTTTCATTTCTCCTGCCTCCGGATTTTATGCTTAATAATACCAAAAACCAAAAACAACGCCCAAAAAAAAAAAAGCACGAGAGAAAAATGGACACTTGATTTTACATTGGGATCAAATAATGTCTCCACACGTGTTGGAAAGACTTTGTATAAATCAATAAATTATTTAACAAGCTGCTTCTTTAGCGACTTTCTTCCTGCATTTCTCGTTCTCAGTCCTGGCCCTGCTGCTCTTGGGGGCCCGGGGACCGCGACGCTCCTGTAGGGTGCCCACAGCCCCCGGGCCGGGCGCTGCTCCGCGGGGGAAAAGGAGCTGCTGCGGTCGGGCTGGCGGGCTGAGCCGGGAGCGCCCCGGGCCCGCTGGCTCCTGCCGGGGGCCGCAGTCGCTGGCACACGGGAACCCGCCCTATGGGACCCCCTGACAGCCCCGGAGAGGAGAGACCCGCGGCTGAAAGTGCAGCCCGAACCTGCCGGGAGCGCCGGTCCCTGGGTCCCGGAGCGCGGCGGCGGGCGGGGGATGGGGTCTGCTCCGGGGAGGAGAGGGGGATGCCGGGACGCGTCCCTCGGTGCTGCCCGGGAACCGGCCGCTGCAAAGACCCGAACTCGTTGAGATCCGCGGCGGAGGCCTTTGAGCTCCTCCGCCCTCCCGCCGCTTCCCGCCGGGATCCCGGGACGTGCCTGTGGGCCCCGGTCCAGCACCTGCGGGAGCGCCCGTGCCCGAACCGGCCGCCGAGGCTCCGCGTTTGTCCCCTCTGCACACGCGAGGCCCGGTGGGTCTGAGCCGCCCGCGCCGTCAAGGTGCTTTTTTTTTTGTCGGTGAACGAGACGTTCTTTTCTTTCCGTGTCTCCGCTACGGCTTTGCAGTCCGAGCAAAGGCAGCGGCCGCACCGCGGGCGGCCCCGCTGCCCCTGCCCGGCAACCAGCGCAGGGACACGGACCCCGGCGCGGGGGGACGGGGCCGTGACGGCTCCCCGGGCAGTTACGGGGCCCGGTCCCGCATCCGCCATCCGCACAGCGGAGGAACGCGGCCCGGCCGCCTCTGTCCGCGCTCCCGAGGATGTGCCATCACCCCCCGCGCAGATGCCGCGCACGTCGAGGCACGACACGGGCCCGCGTCGGTGGGAAGGGGCTCGGAGCGGCGGGGCCTGGCCCGGTCCCCGCTCCGCCGCTGGCGCTCCGCGCCCCTCCGGGCGGGCGTCGGGGCCTCCCCCGCGGAGCACCTCCGGTCCCGGTGCCGCCGCTCGCTGTGACTGATTCCCGTGCGCTCCTGCCGGGGCAGCTCCCGGGGAGGGCGGGGGGTCCCGCAGGTCCCTACGCAGTGACCGCGGCCGCGCTCGGTTGTGCCGCGCTTACGAAGGGAGTGAATCGAGTTTAGCGATTAATCTTCGCCCGGCTGTGAGCACGCTGAGCCGGGGCGCTGGGACCGGGCTCCTGAGGGGAAATGGCTGGATAAAAACACCTGCGTTGGAGCCCAATGCTTCCCACCTGCCCCTTCCCGCAGCTGTTGAACGAAACAGGCTCGCTGGTGGCCCCGCGTTACGGGACAAGGCGGCTCCGCTGGACCAGCTGCCCATCGGCAGCGCCCGGCGAGGGGACTCGGCAGGACCTGGGACGGGCCCGGGCCGCAGCCAGAGCCCGTCGCTTCTCGGCCCTCCCGAGGCTACAGCGGCGTGTCCACCGGGATCGGCCCGGCCCGGCTCCCCACGAGCCCCGGATACACCTCCGGGGCTGTTTAAATGCGAAAGCTGCGTTTCGAAACCGCAAGAGGTTCCGTTCGGGGCGCTCTCAGCAGCTCCTGCGCCCCCGGAAGGGTTCGGGCCCCGGACGGCCCCGCGGCTCCCGGCTCCGGCCACTTCATCTGCACACGAGGCTTCGGTCCCAGCTGGAAAAGGCTGCGGAGTTTTTTTCTGAAACTTGAGGTAATTACGAAGGAGTTTATGGTGGCACATTTCCTGACCCGCTGGGGACTGGCATCTCGTGAACAGCTCGTGAAGCTGCATCCCCTCCGTACGTCAGCGCTCCCACAGCAGATCCTCAGTGCCTTTCCCTCGGTTTGTATTGTGATTCGATTAACACCAGAACTGCATCCTATCATACAGGTTTTCATATGAAAAATAACTTGTTAATTGGCAGGAGATTAACAGGTATCTCACTAATAAGAAATATGACAATTTAATAATTTCCCTGTAATCCCCAATGCCCAAATTAAAGGGGCAGACACAGCCGTGTTCACCATGATTAGTTTTATTGCTTGAGAACCAGAGTACTCATTTCTAAAGGCCTTCAAAGTTATCATGAGTTGAGTTTGCTTAAATAGAATTACTGTGTGGTTATAATGCAACATGGCACAATAACAATACAGAGCTGCAGACACCCTTTGGGCAACGATACTTGATATAAACCGGGTTGTGCTGTTGAGAAAACACTCTGCAAGCGGACATCAAATCATTTTCAGTGGTAGTGATTTATACCAAAATCAAGCATCAATCTAATGCCATCACGCAGTCCATGAACTCTGTAGTGTTCTAAATTAAATCAATAAAACATACATTTGTGTTTCATCAACAGACTCCCTAATCACCTTTTAATGTTGTATTTAGTGGTGGGAGAAAAATGTCTGTAACAAGACTATATTGTAGGCTGCACTGAGCTACTAACCAGGAAAATTTACAGTTGGGTTGGTTTTTTTTTCCTTTAACACTGTATAAATACAGTCTGTGTCCAATATAGTTGCTACTTGAAGCAGACTATATTTTTCTTCTCCCGTGTTGTTATTGTTTCAATATAGAATACTTGGCACCAAAAAACAGTAACAAAAGACGGACAAAAACAGTTTACAAAATTCTGGAAAGTTACACCCAAACCTAGCTAAGAACTTCACATTCAATCCTTAATATTACATAGAAAGAAGGGATTATAGGAGTAACAAAGTGAAACTGCTAATATATGTGCTATATAGTATGCTATATATCTGTATCCAGAATGGCACTGCTATATATTATTTATTATATAAATGTTGGTTGTCAATGTACACTTAACTAAACCTGCTAAGACTCCAACACTAACTGCTGATATGGCACTCTCAAGCATTCATATTGGAAAGTATATTTAGCGTAAGTTTGGTCAGGTTTATAAATTATTTATATATCTGTGTATATATACACATACATACATATATATATACACACACATATATATGTATGTATAGAAAGCAGCTGCTGTGTGATTCAAAAACCATGTAACATGGCAGTATAGTAAATAAAATGAGAAAAAAATTATAAAAATGAAAAACAAAATACTAAAACTAAAACACAAACCATAAGCCTTGGTCAACAAAGAAAATACCATTTAAAACCATCAATATCTCTATCTATACAATCCAATGTACAAAACCCCAAAGTGGTAAAGATATATAATGTTAGGCATGATACCTTTAAAAGTTTATAATATGCTGAAATAGCTTTTCCACATTGACAAACACTTATTAAAAGTTGAAAGTCGTGAAATCTAAAATACATAACATCTCTGCTGTCTATTTAGAGTTTTGGCAACAGAACTGTGACATATATATAAAAAATAATTCCACATTTCTACTTGATGTCACATGAACATACAAGACAGTGAGGTATGTGAGGCTTCTCTCGAACAGAGTCCAGATGCTGAAGCATAGTGTACGATCAGCAGTCTAAAAATGTGGCACTCGGGACTGGATTGATCAATACAGCTGTTGGGATTATGGATTTCGGGTGCTGCCTTCCCTCCTACAGGGTGGTTTCACGGAAAATCTTCTCACTTCGTAGGCATCTTTTTCCTGTTGCAGAATTGGCATTTTTTTAAAAAGAAAGATAAACACAGGGGAAATGATGTAGAAAATATAAACGTAAAGGAAAAAGATGATATTTACCACCACATCACTGCACGACACAACACTTGTGCACATTTGCAATAGGTTTACCTGCCCCAGCAGCTATTCGAAAGGACAGGAACACAGGCTGCAGCAAGTTAGGGAAAAATAGAAGTTACACGTTTGAAATAGACACTTTTTTTTTTTTTTTTTTTTACAGTCAGTCAGTAGCAAACACAACAAAATGGTGCAGTAAGTTTTTGAATTAATCTATCTACAAAATGCACAAGGGAATTACATAATTTCCTCACAGATTTCTGCTCCCACTGAAATCTAAGGGACAATTTTCCACTGATTTCTGTGGGAAGAGAATCAGGTCCCACACACATCTCCCTTCTGTCACAGAATCAGCTCCACTGGAAGTGCCATGCCACTTCAGTGACAAAGGAAACAAAAATTGCTGTTTCTGGACTGGCTGTCCCGGTGCTGACACACTGAACTTTTCATTTACTGGGTAAGTTAGTAAACTTCTGTATTTTAAAACCTGATTGGGCTGATTCTGGACCAATGCCTTAAGTGCATTCTTCCTTAGAAGACAATGCTCTGTCTCACAAGAACTCTGCCCATGGAAGTAAACAGGGGTATGTATTTGTGAGTCTGGATTTATGTGTGCACACACACGTGTAATTACCCACTATCCCTCTCTGCATTATCATTCAGGAGCCTCAGTGCTGATTTTAGATGGGCTTTCAGAGGTTTCCTCCTACTCCTCA